TATATATTACAATACACAATATCGAAAATAATTTAATAATAATAATAAAAAATCTAAAAAATATTTCATTTGTTAGTGATGAATTCGTGGAAGGATCCAATTCCAGGATGGATCGATACTTTTAATGGTCCAATAGGCCTGATGGTTGCTGGCCTAAAAGGATTACTACGAGTATTATTTGCTAGTAACTGTATTTCACAAAATTACGTACCAGTAGATACTGTCATCAATACTATAATTCTTGTAACTTGGAAGCTTGGATTGACAACGTATGATTATCAATTTTTACTTATCAATAACAATTTTTACTTATAATATTTATATTTATCAATGTATCTCTTAATATATTTTATATTTATTTTTTTTGTTATCTTTTTTATATTAGAACATAGAGTTAAAAAATTACATATTTATTTAAGTTTAATTTATTTTTTCTGGAGTGGAATTAAAGTAAGATTTTAAAAATAATAAATATAAAAAAATTGATTAAATATAACTATACATTCTTAATGCTTATTAATTTATGTTAAAGTAAAATTTTTAATATTCTTCAATTATCTCGTAATTTATAATTCCGCATATACTTATAATATAAAATCTGATAATCTATAATATTTTTATAAACAATGCATGGATTAATTTATAATATAATTTATTATTAGTTTCACACCAGCTTCTACATGTTTTGTTGTAAACTGTGCTTTTCCGGGTGAAAAAAATGTATCACTTCGGGAATATTGCAATTTGGAACTCAAATTTTCGGAGAACGTACCACTGGATGGAATTGTTTGGAAACCTAATACATTATTTACTGAAAGTTATGTTATGCACTATGTACTGACAATAGCGTTGCATATCTTACCAGCTATATTAATAGATCTGGTTTTAAAATTTTTGAGATATCGACCTATGTAAGTACCAAACAAATTAAATACTATAAAATATATAAATTTATACAAGAAAGTGATTCTTTAATATTATATAATACATTTTACTTTTCAAAATAATTTCAACGCGAAGAAGCATAAAAATTTGAAAGTTTTACAAATAAATATAAACTTCAACATAGTATAAATTATATATTACGTTTCTGTGTAAAAAGAAATGAGGTATGAAAAATATATGCCAATTCAGGATAAAAAGTTATTCTATAAATATTCAATTCTTTTATTATATTATATTTTAAGATAAATATTGAAATTGTTTCATAATGGCAAATATATAGGATATTGGAACTGCAAAGAAAAATATATGTGTCCAATCGTGCTGTTCGACATTTTATGTGTAACGAATGGAAATTTGATAATACAAATAGTCAAGATCTAATGGCACTGATACCATCTGATGATCGAGAAACATTCTCGATTGATTTTTCTGATTTGGATGTTGAACAGATTGTCACGTAAATATTAATAATATACATATATATGCATATATATCTTGACTTTAATAGACTTAAAAAAATTTATATTTAAAAATGTATATATATCATAGATGTTACTATATCTTTTGATTATGTATCATTATATTATTTATATTATTTGTATCACAATATGATATAATGCACTACTAAAAAAGAGAGAGAGAGAAAAAAAAAACTTTCTCATTTGAAGTAATCAATATACATATTAATTAATTTAACATATATATAAACAAGTTTAATATAATGGCGGGCTTATAATAAATACGTACATTAATAAATGTAACAATAAGTATTAATTCTCTTAACAGATTTTTTATAAAATTTTTCAATTTTAAATTGTTGATAATACTTAATATATAGTACTAGCTTTTCGGACCGCGCGAAGCGCGGTCCTCATATAGCCTATATTAAATCCGTTTTAACACAAAAAATTAATTCTTTTTTTGTATTACCGCGAACTACTTCCACATTTGTTGTCCGACTTTCACGAAATTTATATCAAAATAAATGTTTAAATTTTTTTGGGTGGGTGCGTGGGTGGATAAATAAAGTGATAAAAATTTGTTAAAATTATATAGTAGCCATCCCGGACAAAATTTGAGTATAAATTTCGAAAAAGTCTGTGAATAAATGTTTGAATGCGTGGGTGGATGCATGGGTGAGATAAAACTTAAAAGAACCACACAGCAGCTTTCTCAGAAAAATTTGCAACATTTTTGTACCAATTTCGTGAAAATTGGTCCATAAATGCGCATGCGTGTGGGTGAATGCGTGGGTGGAGGTGTAACACTTGAAAAAACCACATCGTCGCCATCTCCAAAAAATTTGCAACATTTTGGTACCAATTTTTACAAAAATCCGTTCATAAATATGCGATTGCGTGGGTGGATGCGTGGGTGGGGGCGTAAACTTAAAAAACCCACACAGCAGCTTTCTCAGAAAAATTTGCAACATTTTTGTACCAATTTCGTGAAAATTGGTCCATAAATGCGCATGCGCATGGGTGGGTGCGTGGGTGGAGGTGTAACACTTGAAAAAACCGCATCGTCTCCATCTCCAAAAAATTTGCAACAATTTGGTACCAATTTTAAAAAAATCGGTTCATAAGTATGCGATTGCGCGGGTGGGTGCGTGGGTGGAGGCGTAAACTTAAAAAACCCACACAGCAGTTTCCTCAGAAAAATTTGCAACATTTTGGTACTAATTTCGTCAAAATTGGTCCATAAATGCGCATGCATGTGGGTAAATGCGTGGGTGGGTGAGTGGGTGGAAGTGTAACACTTAAAAAAACCGCATCGTCGCTATCTCCAAAAATTTTCCAACATTTTGATACCATGTGTTCAGAAATATTGCAAAAAAAATTTTTTTTGCAAAAACATACCCTCCTCTGAGAAAAAAAAATAAAAATAAAAAAATTAAAAAAAAAAACCCACAGCAGCCACCCCCGAAAAATTTGCAACATTTTGGTACCAATTTCGAGACAATCGGTCCACAAATGCGGAAGTAGTTCGGGTACAGACAGACAGACAGACAGACAGACAGACAGACGGACGGTGCTTATATATATAGATATCAAAATTTATAGCAAGTTAATCGACTTGGATACTTTTTTTAAATGTTTATATATACATTGATAAGAATATAGATAATGTTAATAAGCTTAAAATATTTATTTATATTAATTATATTATATTATATAATAATTAATTTGCATTTATTTTATCATTTCAAGGAATGGATTGTTAGGATATAAAAAATATCTCCTTCACGAAAATATGGAAAAGTTAGATGAAGCCAAAACTCATTATAAAAGGTGATGATGAGTTATTTTTAAAATATGTTGAAACACTTCTGTATCATTTAAATATATAGTAAATTTAAGAAACAATTATCAGTTTTTGTTGAGCAGATGAGTGTACATATATATATGTACATATATAATTATATATATTGTTGAATATTATGCTATAAAAATTGTAGATAATTATTTACAAGATATATTTGTAAGATGCATTTAATTATTCTTATTCTGTTAATATTTTAGAATGAAGCTGCTTGATGCAACAGTGAAAATTATTATCGCTATTACTCTACTGTGGATGATGACCAAGTGGATATTATTTTAAACATTTTAGATTACTAATTTATAAAATTTATGCGATATTTATATGTTATAAATCTGAGGAAAATATCACGCCAATATCTTGAAAATATTAGAGGTACGAAAAAATGTTTCAAACAAAAGTTGTGTGGCTTCGAAGAGGATGTATAATATATATATATATATATATATATATATATATATATATATATACTTTTTACTTTTAAAAATAATTTCAACGCGAAGAAGCATAAAAATTTGAAAGTTTTACAAATAAATATAAACTTCAACATAGTATAAATTATATATTACGTTTCTGTGTAAAAAGAAATGAGGTATGAAAAATATATGCCAATTCAGGATAAAAAGTTATTCTATAAATATTCAATTCTTTTATTATATTATATTTTAAGATAAATATTAAAATTGTTTCATAATGGCAAATATATAGGATATTGGAACTGCTATATATATATATATATATATATATGGTGTCATTGTTTTGATTTTGGATAATTGTTTGTAGTTCACATGAAGGTCACCCTAAATTAAATGGAACCCCTTGTTTTTTTATTACATATTCTTTGTTGCTTATTTCAACAGTTTTCCAAAATCCTAGAATATAAGTATTTTTCATGGAGTACTCTTTTATAAGATTCGAAGCTAACAATTTTTGGCATAAGATATATATTGTATATATATCTTTTGTAAAATATTCATTTTTTGGTAATTATACCTTAACACTTTTTTGCACAGTATAATATAAGAACAAGAAAACAGATAATTGTTTAAGAAAATTTGTAATATATTCAATATGTGCAGCTGCATACTTTTTTTAAATAAGTAATTATATGTATTTTTCTACACAAATTCATTGGTCTCATATTATTCCGTGCAAAAAAGTAAAAGGTATATGGTTACCGAAAATGAAATATTTTACAAGATATTTTACATTTATGTCAAAAAATTGTTAGCTTCAAACCTTGTTTAGAACTTAAAGAGTATACTAGCCCATGAAGGAATACTTTATTATAGGGTTTTGGAAAGCTCTCGAGATAAGCTACAAGAATAACATGTATTAAAAAATAGGGGGTTTTATTCAAAAAATTTAAGGTGACCTTCATGTGACCTACAAACGACTATCCAAGGTCAAACCAGTAACACCATCTTATTATGTCCCCCTCGAAGTCAAACATTTTTTCGAGATATTTGCGTGAATAATTTAAAATAAGACACCCTACATATTTAATTTAATTATATATCTATAATTATATGTAATATATAACAAGATATAATTTATATATATTGTTATTTTGTAAAATATACATATATATAAATTTTGGTGTATATGGGTAAACGTTGTTTTTATCTAATATCGATAATGTAAATATTCATGTTACGCAATTTACCTTATATCGATAAGAAATGATCCAATAAAATGTACGATTTTAAAATATTGTACATTTATTTCATTTTATCTCATATTTAATCCAAATTTATTTGATCTCGCTTTATTTCAGTACCAGAAGATGTAATGGTGTTTATGTAGCGACACGGTATATATTTTATCTTCGAGATCGAATCTACATTTGGGCCATTGCTCCCGCGAACGTACAATCACCAGGAAACTGCCAGTCATTTCTTCGTCGTATTTCGGCTAGATCTCGCGGAGCGCTCGATAGTGCGAGAGAATTTAATGTAATCGAGCAACTGATCGAAACGAAATGGGAGCGGTACGAATAATTAACGACGACCGTCATTTTCACGGCGAGCTGGCCAGTGCCGGACAAAAACTCGTCGTTGTGGATTTCACTGCGAGTTGGTGAGAGTCTTTTAGGTTACATCCATTTTTTTCTCTTCCTCGCTGCTTGTATCAGTTTCATTGAATTTCGCATTTATTTGAGACCACAGATGCGCACGATCGCGTTCATTCGTACTTCAGAATTATTTTTCGACCTGAAATTGATGAAAGACCAGCCATTAGAAGTAGAAACGTGAACTAGCAAAAAAAGTAAGAATTACGATATTAAATAATCTCTTGTGATTAGAAGATTCTATTTATTTCAGTCATATTGCTCTATAATTTCTCAATTAAAAAATAATAAGAATGTTATTAAATAATCTCTTGCGAATGGAAGATTCTATTCATTTCAATCATATCGCTCAATATTTTCTCAATTTAACAAAATAAAAATGTTATTAAATAATCTTTTGTGATTAGAAGATTCTATTTATTTCAGTCATATCACTCTACAGTTTCTCAATTAAAAAAAAAGTTAGAATGTTATTAAATAATCTCTTGCAATTAGAAGGTTCTATTCATTTTAGTCATATCGCTCTATAGTTTCTTAGTTTAAAAAAGAAAATAAAAATGTTATTAAATAATCTTTTGTGATTAGAAGATTCTATTTATTTCAGTCGTATCGCTCTACATTTTCTCAATTTAACAAAATAAAAATGTTATTAAATAATCTCTTGTGATTAGAAGATTCTATTCATTTTAGTTATATCGCTCTACAGTTTTTCAATTAAAAAAAAATAAGAATGTTATTAAATAATCTCTTGTGATTAGAAGATTCTATTTATTTCAGTCATATCGCTCTACAGTTTCTCAATTGAAAAAAAAATAAGAATGTTATTAAATAATCTCTTGCGATTAGAAGATTCTATTCATTTCAGTCGTATCGCTCTACATTTTCTCAATTTAACAAAATAAAAATGTTATTAAATAATCTCTTGTAATTAGAAGATTCTATTCATTTCAGTCATATCCCTTTATATTTTCTCAATTTAAAATAAAATAAAATAAAAATGTACACTTGTATTTTCGATAAAAAAGGATCTAATTTTACCTCTCTGTAAATTTCAAGTGTACTTTGCTTATTATACTGCGCATTACAAGTTTGTACATCTTTTATGAGAACTTATAGTTTGATATTGCGATGATTAATATAATATCTTGCTTACTCTGTGATTGCGCAGGTGTGGACCCTGTCAAAGAATTGCTCCGATATTTGAGCAGCTGTCGCTGAAGTATCCTAAAGCAGTGTTCCTGAAAGTGGACGTGGACAAATGTGTGGACACTGCCTCGGTACAGGATGTGCGTGCAATGCCCACTTTCATCTTTTATCGCAGACGCGCAAAGCTGGGCCAGTGCCAGGGCGCAGATCCAGTTGGACTCGAATCGAAGATCCAGCAGTTCTACAGTAGCGGCGAGTCTGATGATACGGAGGACACGGCCGGGGATTCCCTGTCTGGACATGTACGGAATACCGATAATGCTTATTATCACATCTTCGTAATGATCTTCCTTGCTGTGATTCTGTACTATTGGAATAAGTATCAATGAAAAAATTTGCTACTATGATAATAAGATCTGTCGAACACAGATATTTTCTTCTAAATTTTTCACATTTTTTTGGGAAGTATTAGATTTTTATGCAGAATTTGCAGTATGCAATGATATGGGTAAAATATTGATAAAGAATACAATACAGTTTACTAGCGAAAAGCGTTAAATTGACAGAAGAAACAAAAAAACATTCAATTATTTGTAATCTTCATTAAAACTAACTTACGTAAAATTTGTTTTATTTTTTATTTACTAACAATAAGTTTTAATATCTAAATTTGTATATTTTCAAAGCTTTATTTGCCAGAATTCTTTAATTTTTGTTTTTAATTGGCATATTTTTTTATCAATATCTTACCATTCTGCAGTCTAATTGACATAAATAAATTTTATTGAGAAATTAATATTCGGCAAAAAAAAATTTTTTTGTACATATTACTTTGTTTTGTTGTACTTTTATCAATTTATTTTAAAAAACTATTTCTCAATATATATTATAAAAATTTTTTAATTCTATAAGATTTTATAAGAATTTTATGTGGCAATATTGAAAAAATTAAATTTAAAATTTTTGTATGTAGAACTAGCTTAAAAAAATATGAACTTTTTTATTATATAAGTTGCAAATATCAAAGTAACGTTTATATAATATCCGTTTTTGATATCATATTTTAATATTTCTACATGCATCTAAACTTGATGGAATCTTCGTCAAAAATTTAATTAATTTCTATAGAATCAATTTACAGTTGTTCTTGAAAAATATCTTTTATAATCTCATATTATATTAGTCTTTTACATAAATAATTGAAATATTTCCTGCTTATATTATAATATAAATATATCAAATATTAATGTATATGATTTTATATTGGAAATAATACAACTTTGATACTTGCTTGCTTATTGATCATTTAATAACCTTCATCTGATATTCCACTTAATAGCACAAATCTCTCAATATTTTATTGAAATAAATAATGAAAAATCAATGAGATTGTAGATATTAACTAGCAATATTATTATTCAATAATAATTTTTTTGTCAATAATTGTTATGAGAGAAAGAGGGAGAGATGGTAAAAGAAGGAGAAAACATTAGAGATTAAAAAGATGACTTAAAAAATTAATTGGGTAAAAAAGATATAATTTTACATGAAATTAAATTCAAAAAAATTAAATGTTAAAAAATATTTAAATTATTCATTAAAAGAGAGAGATACAGTTTTTCAATATGTATGTAATATATATGAAATTACTATGATTGTTATTAAAATTATATATATAGTTATATATTTATATAAAGTTCTAGAAAATGAAAATTTAAAGTGAGTTCTTCTCAAAATAACTTGCTATTTCTCTTTTTTCATCTCTTTGTCTTAACTCCTTTTTTATTTTAATTTCATTCTATTGTAAAATAATAACTATATATATATATATATATATATATATATATATATATATATATATTATTTTGACACATGTTGGCATTAGAATCTAAGCTTATCAAAATTATATCAATTTGAAATCTTATTAAATTGATTGAAATTGGTCCTATTTTATTTTTCTTTTATGTGTGTGTGTGTGTTGTGTGTTTAGAGTTATTTGATTAATATTATAATTTACTGAAGCAAGATTCTGCTGGTATTTCAGATGGACTTGTCCAGTTTTATAATGAAACAGCAGTGCGAGTGTTTAAACGAGTCGGATCATCACACTTTCACTCAGTGTTTGAATTCGGATACTGGATATCTTCAGAGTGATGAGGATGAACAATTGATAATGTCTATCGCATTTTCGCAGCCCGTTAAAGTTCATTCCCTCAAGATCAAAGGACCCGCAGAGAATGGGCCAAAAAATATCAAATTATTTATCAATCAGCCTAGAACGATCGACTTTGAGATGGCGAATTCCAATACAAGTGTCCAAGATCTAACGTAAGTTTTGTATTAAGATTGATAATTTAAATTATTGTTGAATAATTAGTTATCTGAGTATTCATTCACATTAATGTAATAATGTAATATATAAATTAACTTTATATTTGACTACTTATCTATTATTTAAATTCATTATTCTATTCGTTTCTTTGTTTTGAATTTACATAGATATATAGAAATAATTTGATCTGTACACACAAGTACAAAGATCATATTCCTGTATTCAATGACTTACAATGTTAAAATAGAATCTTCTTTGCAATATTTTTCTAAAGAATAAATAAAATATCATAATTTTGTAACACAGATTGTCGGCTAAGGACCTCGAGGAGGGAAATCCCGTTCCATTGCGTTACGTCAAGTTTCAGAATGTGCAGAACTTTCAAATATTTGTGATAGATAATCAGAACGGCTCGGAGGCGACAAGAATTGACCACTTAGTCATAATTGGTTCGCCAATTTCGACCACGAATATGGGGGAATTCAAAAGAGTATCCGGCAAGAAAGGAGAGAGTCATTGAACAATTTGCCTGTAACAATAATATCAGGACATTATCAGAAATTCTTATTTACATACTAACATTCCCCCATTGTTTCTTTGTAAAATCGTCAGATGTAACGAGACTTGAATAAAATAATCTAATTTGCATAATGTGAATAATGTAATTTTATAATGTTTATTATTATTTTACGAATAAATATTATAGTGCATATATACTTACATACAAATAATACAAGTTTTCTTAAATTTAACTTTTCAATATCAATTTGCAGTTATTTATTTACGCTCGCTCTCTTCTCTCTCTCTCTCTCTTTAATTTTATCTTCCTTGATACTTAATAAAACAATTTATGCATTTCGTTTGATTAATTAGTTTTACATTGTCTTCACATTCTTTATTTTGACTCGTATTTAAAAAAGCAAATTACAAATTTCTCTCATTGACCTTGTAAGACAAAATAGCTCATGGTAAGAGATTAAGAAGTCTCAAATCACAAAAATTAAATCAGATAAAAGAATGATCTCTTGGCAAACTGACAATTTTGATTTAGGAATTATATAATAAAATTGTGTATTAATCTTATATAAATTAAATTATACATCTCTAGAATAACAATTCTTATACGATATTCATCAGCAAGCTTTATGGATTCGCCAGATTCCACCGCATCGACAAGCTCGTGTCCATCTTTGGTCCCAGGCTCTAATTGCAGCTGTCCTTGTCATATTCTGTACTTGCGCTTTACCACCACATCTGAATACATATATATATATAAAGTTATTAATGCTATAATATATATAAAAGAAGCAGAATATTTTTTATCATTATTGTAATCAATTACCTCGTGCATTGTTTTACTAAAAGCGGTTGTTTTCCTAAATATAAGTGTCGTATTGTATCCACAATCTGTCCACTGTGCATGCAACCTTCAACGGGATTCATTTCCGGCATAAAAACTAGCTGCTCAGGTTCCACCCCATACTCTAACTGCATCCAATTATAACAGAATAATAACATATAAATACAATAATTAAAAAAAGTTTGAGCATTTTTCACAAGATAATAATTCTAACATTTTTTTATTTTGAAAATATAGAAAGTTAAAAAAAAATTTTTTTACCTGTAATGGAAGATTTTGAGTAAATATAATTGGCGAGACTATAGCAGTTATACTATTTCCTTGATGCAATTGTGGAATCATGATTTGATTTGGTAGCAAACAGCATTCATCTGGAAAAAAAAATACTTTGTTATTTTTTCAGCATTCAGACAAAATATTGTGTTTCAAATTAGTCACAGTATATATACCTTCTACATGCAATAATGTATTTATAAATAATTGTATATGTATAATATTAATTATAATTTTTATAGAGAAGAAAAGAAGATAGAAAGCAGATATAACATTTTTTTAAACACTTATTGTATAATAATATTGTATATTTATAATTGATATTCTTTATTTATAGCAATTTTTCTTTAATTTCAACTTTTTTCTATTCAAATCATATTTCTTTTTAACTTATTATTATAGTTAATTGGTTTTAGTAATTTAGTAATTTAATTATCTTGAGGAATAAAGGTTTTTAGCAAATTTTCTTCATTGGATTGTAATATTAACACTGGTTTTTCTAGTTGTTCATCCACACATGAATCGATCTGAAGAAAAACTTCTGTTTTCTCATTGACTGGACTCTCCACATCTGCTATAAAGTAACTTGACTCGTCCTTTGATTTCTTTAACCCATCCTTTTTATTCTTTGTATACTTTACATCTTTTATATTCTTTTCCTCCTCTATATTTTCCACATTCTTCATCTTATTCTCAGTCGTTTCATTCGAGAAGAAATGCAGCAATTTTGCGTTCTCGGCTCTCTCAGCTTCGCGAATCAAATCGATGAAGAACAGCTCTCTTGGTGACATCGGCGTCTTTGGAGATTTTGTCTCGTCCGGAGACGATACTGTCACCAACTTGAGATAATCTTGCAAAGGGTTCTCTTCAACATAGTTACTAGCAATGTCCAAGTGAGCCGTCTCGTCCTTTTCAACATGCACGATTCCGATGTCTTCGATATTTTCACCAGATATCTGTCTGTGTATCGTCAAAGGTGGGAGATCTTTCTTGAAAAAATTTCCTCGATCATTTTTCTTAGATTCTGGATCCTGCGAATCATTCAACTTCTCTGTCTCGGGAGATTTTGTATCTTTGGATGATATTTGGTAGATGTTCAGAGATCTCTCTACATTATCCGAGCCATATTTCGAGATCACGTTAATTTTAGAATTTTGTTTAGTCAGCAAAATCCTCCAAAAAATTATTAATCCACACATGATTATGATCCAGATTAGAAATGCAACTGTCCAGAAGAGAAGAGGCCAATATGAAGGCCAGAGTCTAGATGCGTAGCATATGGCCCATATTAGAGGACTCAAGACGAACCAATAAATTAGAAACACACTCAAAATTGACCAAGGAAACGACAGGTGCTCGCACCTTTTCAGTATAGCCTGCTTGTAAATTCCATGTTTCTCTTTGCACATTTTGTTTTCCTTCAAAGCGAGAGAGTCTTTATGCTTTATTGCAAGTTTGGTAGTCATTGTTCATAGATTCTTCCTTATAATATTACTTTTTTCTTTCTTATATATTATATCCTTCTTGTATATAAAGTATTTATGTCATATTCTATCGTTGCTTTTTTTATAATAGAGAAATATACTAATTGTATAAATTATTACACACAAAAATTATTACTAATAATTATACAATTATATAAATTATTTTATATATTATATTATTATTATATATATATTATATATTATATTATAATTGAATATATATGAACTATATAAAAATTATTATATAACTATTATGTTATATACGATGTAAACTGGTTAAATACTGTGATAGACTGAGTCTATCCACTTAGAATTATTCTTGTAAGTCAGGATGTGGTTGTTTTATCAAACTTCCTGACCACAAGTTATAGTAATCAAATAGCAAATGTATAAAGTGAAAGAATTCACTTTGCTTCAAATTTGTTTTTGGCAAGAATATTTGGAATGTAAGAGGCCAAATTAATTTAATTTTTTGATGATAAGTTTTAAAAATACATGTAAGTGAAAAAAGATAAATATACAAAATATTTAACTTAGGATAGAATCTATCTAACTAAAGGATATTTTAATCTTTAATTTGATTGCTTTATTATCACAATTACTTTAAGTTATGTCAAAATATAAATCTTATTTTTTTTTAATTAAAATCAATCAATGAATCCAATTGAGTCCTATATCCAATTGAGTCATTAAAAGTGCCTCGTATTGCAATAGAAATATGTAAAATATTTCACAAAATCTAAAAGATTGACAAACATACCGATTAAACCATCATCTATTTGTTGTTGTTGTTGTGTGTCTCCACTAGGTTGTACTAATTTTGATAACAAGCAAAATAGCAAAGCCAGAACATCTAAATTATCCGTACTGCGAAGAAATACTGGAAGACATGATGGGCGAAGCAATCCCCAAATACGTATAATGACCAGCAGTTCCCGAACGGTATTTAAGGCCTTGTGATCTTTAAGAAGTTCATACTGTAAAGCAAAGAAAAAACAACATATAATCCGTGAAAATATGTGTGTTTAAACTCATATAAATTTTTATAATTTAATTGTATCATTATATAAGAAATAAATATAAAATATAACATGAAAATAATAGATTTACAGAAAGTACTTACACCACCAGTCTTTATTTGCATCCTTTGCTCAGGCAATCTAGCCAGCAAATTCAAAGCTAAGTCAGCTACCCATTGAATAAGTTGCTGCAACGATTGCAATGTGCTTGGCTCTACTGTAAATTCTTTAGGATCGAGATGCAATAATACCTAATAAAACATTAAATTAATTTTATTCCAATTTTATTAATTTTATTTATTAATTTTATTATTAAAATTTTTCTTTTAGCTGATCACATCTATCATTAATACTTTATCATTTATTATTGATTTATTTATTTTTAAATCTCTACATTTTCGAATTTATCTAAATCGAGCAAAAATTATATGAGATTTTTCAAAATATTAATTATATATTTTTATATTTAAAATGTGATATTACCTTATCAACATTGTCAGTGTTATCAGTAATAACATCTGTTATCACCGCAGTCAAACTCTCTGCTGGACCTTTGTCATGGGATATCAGATCTGATGGCCTTAGCAGAGATTTGAAGGCTGTAGCTACTGAATGTATCATTAATAATGATGACAAGTCTGCTGCCTTATTTTGTCCTGACACTGTTCCCAGCATTCTGAAAATATTTTGCAAGCACATTTAATAATTTAAATTTTAAATAAATTTTTTTTATACTTTTTCATACTTCAGAAATTAGAAATTAAAGATTATTTAAGATGACTCAAGTTTTATGTAATAGACTCAAGACTTTCAATTTAAAATATAATTTTAAAAAATTTTCTAAATATCTTCTTGCTACAAAAAAATTATATTAAAAAACTACATTTCTAAATTTTTTCAATTTTACCTGTATAATGATGTCTTAATGCATAAAAATTGAATATAGTGATACTGTTGAGTAGATTGTGATTGCCTGTTGAAGGAGACGTCCAATCTCTCGCACAGTGCTTCGATCATAGACGATCTCAGACATAAAAGTATATCTAACCAATCCAATCCTGTTACAAGACAATACTCCAATAATGTGCAGGCATAACTCATTGACATTGATGTACCTGTAAATACCATAAATTATGTAAATCAATTTGAATATGGAAACACTGAAGAGTCATAATACTCTCGAAATTTCTAACAAGTAAAAAAAAAAAACGAAATAAGATAAATTAAAAATCATCTTGATATCATACCTGTAGTACCATCTGGCAATAATTTGTAAAGATACAGATTGCCATGAGTATCGCATGCAAGAAGCACACATCCCAACCATGAGAGATCCATATGAGCGATAGATACTGAGTTCTTGAAATACTTGTTACTAGGTTCATCTTGACGCCACCCTGTATTTAAAGACGAAAACGCTACTTCCTTGAGACAATCCAGGCGATTTAGACAATGCACCGATGAATCCGCCAATGCTATTATCACATAACTGGGAGGGGGCAATGTTGTCACTATGGATAATTTTGTAGTTGCTATTGCTGTAACTGGTGATTGGCAGCGATACTGTGATTGATATTGCCAAACCTATGAAAACGACAATATATCTATAGAAACAATAACTAAAGTAAATTTATAATAAAAGTTTTCCCTCCTGCATTACTTATTTATATCATTATTTCATATTTTTATTGTACAAAGCAATAGAAGAGCATTGCAAGAGGCAAAGTAATAAAAAATAGGGAAATATAGAATAAAAATAATATGACAGTTTGTAATAATAATTGAATACTTACAACTGTCTTGAAAGATTCCAGACTTTTTGGCTGGAACAATTTGTGAACCGGTTGAGATTTTTCTCGCAATTCCCACACTTCTACAAATCCACCATTCTCACTATTTGCTGCAATAACCAAGGAATCTGCGTCTTCTCTGACCACAAATTTCAAATGTGTCACAATTGTACCTGTAAAAAAATAAAAAATAATATAAAACTATTTATAAAATGTACTTCAAGCCCAACAATTAATTTGAATATAATTTTGCTTACATGAATTATCTTTGGGTGCTCCATCTTGCAAGAAAAAGCTTGGTAAAGCTTGTGAGGTAATAGTGCATTTATCATCATTTTTGCGCACTAATACTCTGTAGCACCTTATTGGCAAACAGATGCTACCACTGCTAACTGCGACAAGGAAGTGGCCATCTAAAATTTACAAAGCAAATTTTGACAACATATTCATCCTATATGTTTTACACACATGATAAAAAGTACTTTTTCCATAACACAAGTCGACTGCAGTTATCCTGTGTCTTGTATTGCCAAGACTCTCTGTCGAATAGCAAATCGGATTTTGCAAATCTTTTGTAATCATGATTGCTCCAACCATACCCGTCGTTGATACCACCAGCACACCTTCAGCAGCTCTGCCGCCAAACTGTCTTACTGATGGTGCAAACAGTAGATGATTAAATTTCTCACTGTAATGGATACTGTCCTTCTTCTCTGTCACTAATCCTGTCTAGAAAATTAATAAACGAGCATCTTAGATCAGAGTCTCTGCCTTATATTAAAACTTATTAATATACATATTAATAAAACTAATTAATATATGTATTAATAAAACTTACAGATTAACAAAACATTTGAAAAACTTTTTATTGTTTAATATAATAATTCGAATATCTAAATACCTTTTTGCCATTGTGGAACCATGCAGCACCTAATATATGTTCACCGGGAAAGTACGTAGAGCCTATTAGCACCCAATCATTTAAGATATGATCCTTAAACATCCACAACTGTACATTTCCAGCTGTATCTGCCATTACCAATTTGTCACCAGGTAAATCCCATTCCAGTGCAGTAATGTTGTGTTTATTAGACACAATTCTAAAAATATGAAAGGCTTTATAATTTGATCTCAATTTTTTTGTGAATCTTTTAAATAATAAAAAAAATGTAATAAAAGTACTAAATTGATTCTTTTTCATAAATGTTCAAAGAAAATATTTAGGAGAATTGAATTAAATACTTACTTATGAGCGTGCCATGGCATATTCAAATCTGCTACATAAACATGACAACCCCGTGTTTTGCCACTATTATCATCCAACTCCGTCATTGTAGTAAACGCTACAATATTTCGACTGGATAAGGAACATAAAGACTGTCCATTGTACAAACTGGAAAAAAGTAATATAGTTAATCAATGTCAAATATGTGGTTTACAAATATTTTTATAATTGTGCAAAAATAAAACAATAAGTAAGCATAAATATATCTAAGCATGTCATATTTAATAAAATATTGACATTTAAAAATTATTGACATTTCTCTAAATTGAACACATGATACATTTTACTCATTGTTTATGTCTCAGAATTATATGTCTAAGAATTTTACATGTTTGTTTACAAGAAATATAATAAAGATATAATTTTAAGAATTGTACCATTCTTGATTGGAAAAAAGTTTGGAGGAGCTTTTCCTATTAACAGTATACAATAAATCCATCTTTATAATTATTTTTTTGTAATTGATATCCCATAACCAAAGAGAAACCTTCTTTCTGCTACAACACTGTTGACCACAAAAAGGTTGGTGTCAAATTCGGTCAAACGGATTCATACAAAGGCGAACGCAAAATGTACGAAGGAATTAACCAATCAGAATCCTCCGTTTCTATCTCCAGAATTCTTTGATTTCTTTTATGTAAATAATAATAATAATGTTATAAATATATTCTAAATTTGTGTCAATTTTTATTCGAGTTATCTAGTAATAATAATAATAGTAATAATAGTAATAATAATAGTAATAGTAATAATAGTAGTAGTAGTAATAGTATTAATAGTAGTAGTATTAATAGTAATAAATAATATAGTAGTAGTATTAATAGTAATAGTAATAATAATAGTAGTAGTATAATAGTAATAGTAATAATAATAGTAGTAGTATTAATAGTAGTAGTAATAATAATAGTGGCAATAATAATAATAGTAATAATAAAATAATAGAAATAAAATAAACAAATAGTATAATAATAATAGAAATAATAATAATAATAATAATAATAGAAATAACAATAATAATAGAAATAATAATAATAATAATAATAGAAATAATAATAATAATAATAGAAATAATATATAATAATAATAGAAATAATAATAATAATAATAATAATAATAATAATAATAGTAAAAATGTTGCTATAAAAGCACAAATGTGAATAATATAAATATAATAAAATAAATAAAAAAAATATTGATTTTATATAATTTTACGATTTTTCTTTTTATATATCAACGCAATCATCGAAATACATAATTTGAATGAACCGCGTGTTGGAACCGAAATGGCGGATATTTAGGAACTACATATTTCTCTTTCGAGTTTCCTATCTAGACTTTTGCATACTTTCTGCCCGTTCGTGATAATTTCTCGCGATCACGATTTTTATACCGGTTCGTCGTCGGTGCAGATTTAATTAATTTCGCATTTTCTCGAAATGGCTCAGAATAAATTCAGCGAAATGGCCTCGCGCTTCGGCAAAGGCCCGAACGGGGTTCCGATGGGCCTGAAGGTCCTCGCTGCGGCTGGTGTCGCGGCTTACAGCGTTTCTAAGTCCATGTACACAGGTTAGGTCCGAGCCTGCTTAAATTCCTTTTTCAGGATTACGTTCCGAAACATCCTCTTCGAGGAAAATTTTTTTTAAAAAACTATAGATTTTCAGTGAAATTTTCCTCGAAGACGTTTTGGGACATAACTCAAATATTACAATTATTCTCCAAAATTATTATTATTTATCTTGGATTATAATAATGATTTTCAACGCGAATTTAATGAACTTGCAGTCGAAGCCGGTCACAGAGCGATCATATTTTCTCGACTGGGAGGCATTCAGAAGGACATCATGACTGAGGGTCTGCACTTTCGTGTTCCATGGTTCCACTATCCGATCATTTACGACATCAGGAGCAGACCTAGGAAGATCTCGTCACCCACAGGATCCAAAGATTTGCAGATGGTCAACATTTCTCTTCGTGTTCTATCCCGTCCTGATGCCTCCACGTTGCCAGCCATGTATCGACAGCTTGGCCTTGATTATGATGAAAAGGTAAGAAGAGTTGCATTATGTAATTTTTTAAATTTTGAAATTGTACAAAATAAATTACATTTATTTTAGTTTACGAAGATAAATTGTTTTGAAATTTATCTTCATGTTCGATTCTGACTTATAAAAGGATATAAATAAATATATACTATAAATTAATATTGTTAGATTAATATTTTAAATTACATTAAGAATAATTCATAAATCAATTCAGGTATTGCCAAGTATTTGCAATGAGGTGCTGAAGTCTGTTGTTGCTAAATTCAACGCTTCACAACTGATAACACAAAGACAGCAAGTATCTAATATGGTGCGCAAGGAATTAACAGAACGAGCTCGAGATTTTAATATTGTTCTGGATGATGTCTCAATAACTGAGCTTAGTTTTGGTAAAGAATACACTGCTGCAGTTGAGGCCAAACAGGTAGCTCAGCAAGAGGCCCAACGAGCTGCTTTTGTAGTAGAAAGAGCTAAGCAGGAACGACAACAAAAAATTGTACAAGCTGAGGGAGAAGCAGAAGCAGCCAAAATGATATCCTTTATAAAAAGAAATTATAAAGACAATTTTCTTCAACTAATTTATAATAATAATCCATTTTAATCTATTGATTTAAGTTAAAGGGAAAAATTGTGAAAGATGTTAAAATTTTTTAGAAGTTTTTTTTTTGTGATTTTTATAACAAGCAAAACTTACAATTAGATTCTGATTTAATTAAATTAATATACAATAATATTGAATTTTCTTCAAAAACTGTAATACATATTTGCCTTGACCACAATATACCTTGGTCTAGCTGTCAGCCAGAATCCTGGATATTTAAAATTGCGCAAAATACGAGCTGCACAGAATATTTCGCGTACAGTGAGTATCTTTGTATAATATTACAAATTTATCATAAAAAATTGCTGAGATTTTTAAGCATGTGAAAAAGTTGTTTTGATATTTTGTATAAAAATCAATGTTTAATATATATATGTTTAAATTGCTAAGGAGAAATTTATTTTATTTCAGATTGCTAATTCCCAAAATAGAGTGTTCCTCAGTGGCAATAGCTTGATGCTGAATATTCAAGATCCCAATTTCGATGAGGGTTCGGATAAGCTGAAAAGTAAGAAGTAAAAATCATCAAAGTCGCGCGTCATTCCTTTTTATTTCTTCTTTTTTCACGTTTCTTTTTATGGAACCTAAAGAATGATTAGTTATGTACAATTATATTGTGAATATAAGAGATCGTTATGCGTTTTCCGAAAACTTACGGATTATACATTATACATTCCCATTACATTGTGCTCTCCTCCTCTCTATAATTATGCTCGCTCGCACATATCTGCTCGTTTTATTCGAAATCAATTTGCATACATAAATTTTAAATTAATCCCCATGAGATAAAACGTCAAATTATTTCTTGTTCAAAAAAATGACTCTGAAGACAAGTTCAACAATTCTATAATATTAGGTTATTAAATATCTAAATAATTTAAAAAGAAAGAAGTATTATGGCAAATTATCGAGGAGATTTTGGCAATGTGTTACAAATCTCATGAAAACGTTATTTTATGTTCTTTAATAGGAGACTTTAATATTATAACAAATATAATGAAATGTGTAGGCAAAAAGAATGTACCCAAACTAGATAGAAATAGGGAGATTATTACTTTAGGAGTTGTTTAACAATTTATAATGGGTATTGCATAAATTAGCTGCTTATGCGTAGATGCCCAATGCTGGCTTTTTCAGGTCACGAAGGAGTGAACTGGAAGAGTTGGGATGAGGCGGCCGATTGTGCCATACGGAGTCTAAATACTAGTTCTCATCGAGCATTGCTAGATACTGGAAAACTCAGCATTGAGGCCCAACCACATAAGGCACAAGTCCCTTCGTCTCTCCTACTGGAATCAGCAGATGATGGTGTTAAACTTATAACACCATGATGATTTTGCGATGCGAGCACGTTTTTTTGTTTAACACAAGCTTTCCTTGTCCATCCTTTTGTTGAAAGATATTCTATTGTCTACATTTGAATAATTGATATGATAAAAGGATAAATTTTCCTAATGCAATGTTAGATTTGTTTTCGCTCTTCTATATTTTTTTATATTTAAAATGGGATTTGTATGCAAAAAAAAAAAAATTAAAAACCACATACAGAGGCTGAAATGAAAACGAACAAATATTACAAGAAATCGAAGTGTAATCTTCATATTTTTTTATCTTGGTCTAATTTTAATATAAAATTGTAGATATATTTATATATGTGTAATGTTATTGCATTTAATCACTTGAGTGGTGACAGTAAGTTAAAAAAAAAAAATAAATAAATAAAATAAAAGCCAAAAAAATTATATATTAATGTATTTTAATAGATACAAAAATTTATATAAAAATAAAAATTAAAAAAAAACAAATAAATTAAATTAAAATTGCATTTTGCAATATTTTGCATCACGTGGCATATATAGCCTTATCCGGCATTTGTGAATAGTGGCGCCAGCTGGTCGATGAATAATCCGCAGGAGTCTACAATTCTTGGGCAAAATTATTGTAAATAATTGATTGAAAAAGCAAAAAAGTATGTATGTACTACATTACTTTTATTTATTCCTCCAATATTTTTATTAAATAAATTGCAAATTTATTTTACTCACAATTTTTGTACTCTAACCTGCAAATTATACTCAACTGTGTTTTGAACAAATATGTTAACTAATTATTTATATATTACATATGTTAAAATCATAAGTTATTTGTGGTTGCTTAATATTGTTCGTTTTATTCTTATTATTACGATTACTATTATATGTATAATTTTATATTATTAATATAATTTTATTGTATTATTAGTTTTTAATATATATATATATTAAATTATTTAATTCAATATTAAATACTATTATTTTATTAAATAATTTAATACTAATATATAATAACTAGAAATGATCTTCACCTTCTATGTACATATTTTTATATTTTTATGAAATTATTCTTTTAATGCAATTTTTTATCAATTTATATATTAGCACAATATAATTTAAATATATAAATACTATAACAATTATCGTGCCAATATATTTTTTGAATGTAAAAATAAAATAAATTATTAAATCTGCAGCTCTTGCAACGGCTAAAAAATTTTAAATAGTGACTAATAGGATGACGTAATCTATGCATTGCTTGTGATATTCTATTGCATCATCTTTTACAGATGGGTGAAGGTGATGATAAACTGGCAGAGTGTTCTCTGACAAGGTAAAGATAGAATCTTATTATTCCTTGCTAATTGATTTATCTATGTATTTAGCATAATTATATTTCTGATTAAATACCCACAAAAATAGGGACAAATCTTGCTTATATTTTTTAAATTAAGAATTACATTGGACATTTTATATTTTATGTGCAAATTGATATATATTATTACCATATGATTAAAATTATAACTATGTTTACATAATTATACAAATGATTAATTAGAATCATTATTATCAATATTTAAAATAATATTTATATAAACTTTTGTGTTATTTCATTATGAAGAGATGAGATATCTAAAAAAGCACTTAAAAAGCAACAAAAGGAAATGCAGAAAGCAGCAAAAAAGGCAGAAAGAAAAGCTCAAAATGTAAGTTACTATATACATATATATATATATATATATATAGAATATTATTATTTAATAAGGAAAAAAATTATTTTTTTATTAATTAAATAAATATAATAAGTATAATTTAATAAACCGATAAAATAAATAAATATTACTTTATATAATACATTCTCCAATAGACTCAACAAGAATCTATAAATGAAGCTGAAGATGTGTCTGCGGGAAAGTATGGACAAATGGATATGATTCAAAGTAAAGAAAAATTCGAGGATAGAAAGTTTACAGCAATCAAGAACCTGAATAAAAATCTGCAGGATCAAATGGTTTGGTTGAGAGGTCGTTTACATATTAGTCGTGCCAAAGGTAAACAATGCTATATTTTATGGAATATATATTAATTTAGTTATCTGCAAATAAAACTTAAAAAATAAAAATATATATTTTAACATATATTATAAATATATTATAAATATGTATATATATATATATATATCTTATGTTTATTATACAGGCAAGCAATGCTTCATCGTATTAAGACAGCAATCATATACGGTGCAAGGATTAGCTGCTGTGAATGAAACAATCAGCAAACAAATGATTAAATTTATTTCCAAGTATAAATTCTGAAAATATTTATGAAATTTATTTCAAGTACTTATACATTTTATATAATTAACATGGCGTCACTTTCAGCATCACAAAAGAATCTATAATTGATGTCAAGGCCGTAGTGAAATCCGTATCATCAAAATCGAGTCATGCTCGCAAAAAGATGTGGAAGTTCATATAGAAGAGGTATTTGTGATAAGTGCTGCCAAGCCGCAGCTTCCCTTACAGATAGAAGACGCTGCGAGACTTATCAATGAAGCAGATGAGACGGCGTTGAATATTCGAGTGAATCAAGATACCAGACTGGATAATAGAGTACTAGATCTGCGTACTCCAGCTAATCAGGCGATTTTCAAAGTAGAAGCTGGCGTTTGTAAGCTCTTTAGAGACATTCTAACGGAGAAAGTAAAGTATAATAATTATACAATGCTTATTTTCATCAAGACATTTCGTTTTAATTTTATTCTTTCCAGGGTTTTGTCGAAATTCACACTCCTAAAATTATCTCTGCAGCCAGCGAGGGTGGAGCGAATGTATTCACAGTGTCTTATTTCAAAAACAATGCTTATCTGGCTCAATCGCCACAATTATATAAGCAGATGGCGATTGCTGCTGATTTTGACAAGGTTTTCACTGTTGGTGCAGGTATATCGCGTCCAATAAAAATAAGAATTGTCTCCTTGAAAGTTGTTACTAAAAATGTGATTAGTTTTCAGAGCGGAAGATTCCAATACGCACAGACATTTGACAGAATTTGTAGGTCTTGATCTGGAGATGGCTTTTAAATATCACTACCACGAGGTAGTGGACACTATCGGACAGATGTTCACCGAACTTTTTAAAGGTTTACGTGACATGTTAGTAATATATTTATTATATCCTTTTATTCTTGATATGTGTACAAAGTTTTTGACTCACAATATTTATTTCATGGGAATTCAATAGTTATGCGGATGATATAGCAGCAGTCAGTCAACAATATCCCGTGGAGCCTTTCAAATTTCTCGAACCAGCTTTGAAATTAGAGTATCCACAGGCGATCGAAATGTTAGCGGAAGCAGGTGTAACTCTCGGTGAAGAAGATGATCTGTCGACACCAGATGAAAAACTCTTAGGAAAACTTGTTAAAATTAAAGTAAGCTGTTGAAAAATTTCAAATAGAGTTATAGCTGAAATAATGGATCTTTAATAAGACGTTTTGCTTAATTCATTGTAATTGTTTTTATGATTTATATATCTCGAGATATTAAGCTTAAATTTGAGAATTTATGATCAATATGAGAATATATGCATTTTCGATTTTTATTATAAACATGTTATTTTCAGTATGATACGGACTTTTACATTTTGGATAAGTATCCTCTTGCTGTGAGGCCTTTTTATACAATGCCGGATCCAAACAACCCTGTAAGTATTTTGATGATTTGATTATATAATAATATAATATTTTCTTTTACTGATAATTAATCTTACAATTGTAGAAAGCGTCCAACTCATATGACATGTTTATGCGAGGCGAAGAGATTATATCTGGTGCACAACGTATCCACGATCCAGACTTTCTGACTGAACGAGCTAAGCACCATGGAATCGGTGAGTAAAACTTCTGCATAAGCTTTTCAATTTTTTTGATTCAGATTTGACCAAAAATAGTTAAAATTGCAAAGAATTCTTAGAGTCAGAATTTTGAATTTTCAATTTTTTGTAATTATGCCACATATCATAGATATATTATTAATTTGTCTGCTATATACAACATAAAAGAATTGTGCCATTTAAATATAGAAAGTCTCGTCATGCATAATAAAACGCTTAATAAAACAGTTATTCGATATTATTAATTAAATAAATTATAAGTTAGATATATTATAATAAATTATATATATTAATTAAATTTTTTGTTTCAGATATCGAGAAAATCAAGTCATACATCGACGCTTTTAGATATGGCTGTCCGCCGCATGCTGGTGGCGGTATAGGTATGGAACGCGTTGTGATGCTGTATCTCGGTCTGGACAACATTCGTAAAGTGTCCATGTTTCCGCGTGATCCTAAACGGCTCACTCCATAAAATAAATTGCATTATTTCAACAGATATTCTTGTATACTCTAATGTAAAATCTTTTATCTTAAATATACACGCACTTTATAAATGATATTTAACATCACTTTTTATTTTCTTCTGTATGTATTATATTATATATGTATATGAGTATTTTTTTATTTCTCTTTTTACAAATCTCACTTTAAAATATTTCTAAGAATAATATGCAAAAATTTTTTAGAATTATTTTTCAATATTTATTTTTTCCTGTATATACAAAGATTGTACATTGCAATTGCAGATAATGGTATAGGATCATTTACTTATAAGACATTAAAAATTTTTATAAATCAGATATCAATTTTTATATGTATATTTTTTCACGGTTAAATATATCACGTTTACATATATAATATTTACATAATTTGAACATATATATATATATATATATATATATATATATATATATATATATGATCTACACAAAATAAATATTAAATTAATCGATATATATTATAAAATTAAAAGATATATATAATTGTATAAATTTTTAAAAATAGTAACAGCACATTATTGTCTTACATCATAAATACATATATTAATAGCATAATTGTTATATACAATAAATTATTATAATAATAAATAAATAATAACAAAAATAAGTTTTTAATAATAAATATATAATTTTATTAGTATTATTTTAATTTATCGCGTAATATTGTGAAATGCAGATTGCGAGATTAATTATAATTTTATATAAAAGAAAATTTGTGGAGAATCTTTAACATACTTTTTCCGTAAATCCATGCAATATTTTCAAAACCTTTCTTTGTTTCCTTTCTTGTGACGACAACAATGCGAATAGCGAATCACGTCTTAATATCCATATCCTTAGTAATCTAAATCGTAATTCAATAAAAATATATAATTTTAATAAATGATGTAATCTTGTAAAAGCCTTATTTAAAATTATTGTGAAATCTTAAAACACTTTTAAATAATCATAGATTATAGATTATAGATTCTCATACAATAATAATTATACATATAAATGTATATATATAAATATTTTTTATAAACCATTTCCATAAAATTATTTAAATTTACCTGTAAACCATTAATTCGATCATCTGATGCACTGCATCTCGATACTGTTGTTAAAATTTGCCGAGTTCTTGCAAAGAAATCCCCATGGAAGTTTCTATAAAAACAATTTTTTATATGTGTACAAGATCGAATATATAGTCGAAAATTTTTACAACTAAATATATCCTTTGTGTTAAATCGAAAATTATATATCCTATAAAAATGTCAACATCAATGCTACAGCGAAAATATATATGATGTTCATACAGGAATAATTCTTTTCTTGTTTTAAAGTATGGTCATTTAGAATTTAGAGCGTTCAAAAATCCTCATATGTAACGGAAATCTTACCGCATATCGCGTTTAGAGTATGTTCACTAATAAATGGAAACAGTTCTTTTACAACAGTGCCTCCTGCGTTCTTCAAAGAATTTGCCATACAATCGCCCTCCTTGATCAGGATATCAACAAACTGATTTACTATATTAAAATGAAATGCAGGTGTTAATAATTTTCGCCGTCTTTGCCATTTAATGCCTAAAACAAAAATAAATTATATGTGATATAAAATAGTTTAATATATATATGTTTAAGTGATAAATCCTTAAAAAATATAAATTAACACAAGCGCGCGCTTCGCGCCATTGATATTATTTCTATTATTTATTTTACAACTGTCAAACTGTTAATCTTCGCGATGACAGTTGCTCGATGATCATAATTTTAATTTATCAAATTTCTGTTAAGTACATAATTTTAATTCTCCGAATTTTTATTGTGTATTGTTTGAGAACTATTTTGTATATATGTATCTCTTTATATTTTTTTTATTTCGTTTAATGTAATCGAACATAATTACATGCTCGAAGCGAAGTTATATTATTCTTTGATAATAATAAAACTTAAAAATTGCAATGTATGTATAAAATTATTATTGTAATGCATGCATAAAAATATATTTATTAATTATGTGATTCATAAAAATTCAATATATAAATTTTTAACCAAAAAAAAAAAATTAGTACATCCCACATATCTATCACGCTGCGCGTTTCGCGCGAGACTGATTCTCGTACGTCGTACGGGGTACAGTCGGTACAGAGCAGGGCATTGCAAGCGCGGGACCGTTGGTCACGTGACCACTGGTCACGTGACTTCGGTTTCGCGCTCACGATACGCGATACCTCGCATGAGAATCAGTGTCGCGCGAGGCGCGCAGCGTGTTGGATGTGTAGGGTGTAGAGTCTCGCACGAGTCTAATGAAAGTGTAGATATTTTATCACAAGATTCTTGAAGAAAATTTTATTTCTTTGTTTGCATTTTCTATTAAAGATTTAAATATTAAATTTTTATGCAGTGCATAATTAATTAATGTATTTTTATGTATGCATCGCAATAATATATTTTATACATATATTGTAATTTTTAAGATTTTATTATCAAAGAATATAACATAACTTCACTTTGCGAGCGTAATTATATTCGGTTAGATTAAATGAAATAATTATATATATATATATATATATATATATATATATATATATATATGTTATATATAAATTTAGTATTTATAAGCAGATTCATTATATGTATCTTTATTGTATATTATTGAACTTTTATTAGAAAGAATATTATTTAATAAAAAGAATGCTGATAAGCATTCCTGAATAATTATTTAATAAGAATGCTGATAAGCATTCCTGAATAATTATTTAATAAGTAATTAGCATACAATAATTTATGAATTTGACTTTTGTTTATTATTATGCATACATAACAAATTGTATGTTAATTAATGTAGATGGATTAGAAATTTTACACTTACCTGGTGAACCACGTAATAGCAACATATTTCCAATAATCGGATAGCTTGGTGGTCCTGGTATAAGATTAATGAGTTGCCTGTTTCTTCCATGATATAAGTAATAATTATACACCAATAAAACAAAAATAAATAATAACAATATAGTAATAAACATTGCTGATGTGATGTCTTTGACCGTTTAATTAAACTCAATTACTTGCTCTTCGATCTTCTTCACACTTTCACACACGTGTCATGAAAGAAATATAAAAAATATTTGCTTTATTAACAATTACTGACAATTGTTTTGATATCTTAAATATATATTAATTTTGAACGTCGTAATTATTAAAGTACATTAACTGTATATTTTTTAATATTAATAAAAGTTTAATAATATGTAATAATATTAATAATATTAAATAATATTAAATAATATATTATGTTATTAATAATATTAATAATATTACAAATAATATTATAATATTAAATAATATTAAATAACATTAATAATATAAATAATATTAATAATTTAAATAATGTTATTAATAATATTAAATAATATTTAAAAAGCAATATAAAGATATTAATTTGTGTATATTGTAATAAAAAAATTGCACAATATGGTTAACCATATATATATATATATATATATATATATATATATATATATGTGTAAATCCATTGAATAAAAAATAAAAGAAGGAACAATTGCTGAATTTATAAGAGTAGAGGATGATGGCGACTATGTCATCGAAAATTTTACGTTATGGATATAATTAAGAATGTTGGTGATGTGTATAAAATAATGTATAAAGCGAATATAATACACAAATAATAATTTAATTAAACATGAGGGTCATTATGCGATGTCACTTATGACTTTATGACATATCATTGCATATTCTTACACGGTTTTACTTTTTCCGGTTTTTTATTCTTTGAACCAAGTAAAAAATTTTTATTTGACTATTGTGCATTATTGCTTTTTATTAACATTTTTTGAAAGAAAATAGCTATTTAGGGCATTAAATTTGCTAATTAGATTTCGTCGGTTTCCATAAGTTTACCTTTTTATAAATACTGCCGATTACCTCTATATAGTAGATTGTCTAATGTGACAATTAAAAAAACACCACATAAATATTTAAAATGGAATAACTAATCTTATCAAATAGATACACTGAACCAGTATAATAATTCTTCGCGAACTGACAATCTGAAATCTGCATATATAGTTATATAGATATTTTTTATATATATCCGTATGATCGTTCTACAGTTCAAGTGCATTAAAAGTCAGAGTTCCATCTTAAGAGATAGAATAATTTTATATCGATTGAAGACAAATATTATTCAAATAATAAAATTAATGATTGTGTAAGCATTTAAAATGTGTGATTCAAGATTTTAAAGTATTGATTAATACGATTATTTTTGTTTAAAATTATTCTTACTCAACATCGAGATATCAGTATCAATATTATCGATACATAACAAGAAAGTTTTTTTCTGTTTATTGATAAACTTTTATTAGAAAAATGCATATGATAACATTCTAACATTCTAAATTCTTAGGTAATTGGAAAGTTTTAGTTAATATCGATAATCATCATTTATAATAATTTCAATGAAATGATGGTAAAATATCGGAGTAGAGCGTACAAAGATTGTGTAAAACAGTCATAAAAAATTGTTACATAAGAGAATGTGTCTATTGATCTTCATCTTTAATTAATTAAAGATGTATTTCTTATTTTTGGGGCTATTTTTAAAATTTTATTTTACTACATTTCTTGTTCTATTTTTGTGATTATGTTTATAATTTTAACTATTTAAAAATTTTTTTAATTAATTATAATATTTTTAATTAATCAAAGATGTATTTCTTATTTTTTGGGCTATTTTTAAAATTTTATTTTACTACATTTCTGGTTCTATTTTTGTGATTATGTTTATAATTTTAACTACATTAATCATTAATTAATCGGACTTTGCTCTCGGTACTTTGAAAAATGTATTTTATGATCTATGATTTTTGTTTTTTTGTTAAAACACAAATTTTAATTTTAACGGATTAGAAAAAGCCAGATGCAAATAGTAGTGCGTCGATTTCAAAGAAAATTGTTTTAATGAGGTTGAACCCATTGAAACTGAATAATTATATAAAACATAGTTTTAATGAAAAATTGATTTTCCTTGAAACTGATTTATTTGTACACAT